CCTTCATATTCAGTGACTCTACTGAAGGAAGACAAGCTTGAGATGTAATGCTTTGACTTTTCTTTTTATGACACAGATTTTCTTAATTGAAGCCAATAAATAGAAGTGCATATGTCTTCTGTGTAACTGCAACAAAATTTGACCACCACTTCCATCCTGTGTGGGCTTCTTCCTCTCACACTAATGGCAGGAGAAGCCATGCTAGCCTGACTCTGTTAAGTGAGAAGACAGTTGGGACGTTGTACATGTAAGGAATTATCACTGAAAACTGCATTTTCTCTATTTACCCAGCTGCTGTTTCACACTAAGAAAAGCAGTTTAGGAGGAAATGAAAATGTTTCTAACGGGATCTAAATGAGAGTTGTACAGCAGCAGAAGGTGGTTTCCTGGAATGGAAGTAGATCTGACCATTAGGATTTAACTTTCTCTGTTTTCCCAGAAGTACCATAAGATTATTAAGCATCACAGCTTCATTTGCTTGCTTTGTAATCTGCTCCAATACATTTCTCTTAAACTTTGTGCTCATGAGGCTCTTGTGTAACAGACATTGAAGGCCAGACCTTGTGTTGCTTCAGTGCTTAAAACATTTGCTGGGGTCAATATGATAATGGCAATAGTCAAGGGAAATATCTTTTCAGAAGAATGAAGGTGAGGTGTTTGCATGAGTAGAAATGCTCCTACTAGTTTTAATTTGGTTAGCAGGAAAGAATGTCGGTAAAAAACTGGCAGTGCAGCTGGAAAATCTTGACTACCTGAGACTGTGCCTAAAGAGCCCGGTGAGCTTCTGGAGCTCAGACAGAAAGGCTGGCTGTGGCATTTTTCACTCCTCGGATTACATAGAAAGCTTGCCTGAAGGAGTGTATGGCTGGCCAAGTTGAAGGCATAGCCCTGAATGCACAGTGCCATGCCCTAAACGTCACTGTATGCCATATGTCTTGTTGCTGAAATAAACTCCTCCTTTCAGGGAGCGCTGTAACAATTCTCTTCACAGTACTGGTGAACACTTTTAAATACAAACAGAGTCCAGATATTTAAAAAAAAAAAAAAAAAGTGTGTGCTAGTTGTGAGGGAGATAATGACTATTTTCATGAAATGTCTTAAAGGCTTTTGCCCAGCAGGACAGATGATCGATCGAACTTTAATCAAAATGAGGGATTTTGCAGATGAGATGTGGGGATCCCTTGCCTACCTTATTAAAAGGATGAAACAATGCATCACCCTTGCTGTTTGCATGCACCTGTAGACTGGGAGCAGTGTTTAGGTGCTAACTAGCTCAGTGTGGCTGGCAAATAAGGTTGAGGAATAGGTAGCTTAAAAGCCCAACACATTTCTAGCCACAGAGTAGCACTCTGAGGAACTCTGTGCCGGGGGCTTGGCTGCTTTTGTCTCTGGTGGTGTTTACAAGCAGCTTGGATGCTGAGGAGCTGTGGGTGGGTTGGAGACAGGCACTGGCTGGATTTCACTGACACTAAAGCAGTGTACTTCAGCGTATAAGTGGGATTTTAGAGTTCAGTCCTTCAAGTTGCCTTTTAGGGCAATTTTCAAAGTCATTTAGATGACTGAAACTAGGTGCCTTTCTTGCTATGGCATTTTCAAAAAACCACAATCTGCAATGAAATCAAAGCAGCAAGTATTTTGCTCATTTGGGAGAGGGGGGAGAAATGCTTCACCTATTGAGATGCATCTGAAATTCTCCGTACTGTCCGTTTGCACCTTTAGTCTTCTCATTAGCTTAATTTGCCCCCCTTCCCTTCCAAAAAGAAAAAAAAAAAGTATTTTATCTCTGCTTCCATTGAAAAAAGTAGCAGCTCAAGTGGCTAAATTCCACAGGTCATCTGTGAAAACTGTAGTCTGTGCTGATACATAACAAGTATTTCAGACCTCCTCAGTTCCGTTCCTTTGCTTACACGGTAACTGTGAAATAACTATCTTTCTTTAGACAAAACAAAAGCGAGATTTATTTTGCATTTGCTTCTTTATTCTACAACACAGGCAACATAAATAGTTTATAATTTTTTGTTTTAAAATATTTCCGTTTCAGAATTCCGTCTGAATAAAATATACACAAAATACAATTTGCAAGCCAGCTTACAGTGACTGCCTGAACAATGGACACCTAAGAACCAAACAAAGCTAGCAGCACAAAAAAACACACCGGAAATGGAGAGACGTTTCTCTAAATAAGGGCAGAAAGACAGAGGGAGGAAATGAATAAAATTGGGGAACTGCAGCTAGATATGGAATCTGTAGACGGTAAACCCAGTGTATGAACTCTCTTGAAAAAGGCCATTTACAGTCTTTCTTAAAAATATTAGTGGCTCCTCCTGAATGTACAGCTATAGAGGTGAAGTCCTGGGAATAATGTTTTGTAGCAAAATGCTTCTTATGGCAGCCTCATCATGGGAATACTGAAAATTTGATTTTCACTGGTCTTTGGCAAAATGGAGTGTCCACTCCCTTTGGCTTTTTGTTTGTTTGTTTTGTTTTTAACATTTCCCTTCAGCCAGAACTGAAAACTGAATCGGGGCCCAAGCAAATATGTTTACAGTATCATAAATGATGACAAAACAGGAGGAAGGGAATGAGAAGAACTGAAAAAAGGTGCTTGCTGCTATCATTGCATACTTTTAAATCTTTCGCTCCCATCTGCTCCAGCAAACGCTGTGCAGGTCAGGGCTCTGGCACAACAGTGCTCTGCCCTTCCGGCTGCTCTTCCTTTGGTATTGTATCCTGCTTTCCTCTGCAGAGCTAGGGTCTCGGGTGATTATGGAGGTGGTATTTGTCCCTTGCTGAACCTGTGTATCTGTGCCTTTCCACTAGCTCAGCTCTCTCTTGTTTCCGCTTGCTTCTTGTGGAAGCATGGCATTTCCTCAGGCTGACACTCGCTACAGCCCAGACTAACCATACGTGAGACTAGGAAATCAGGCCCTACTGCTCCATGGCATTTAGATGAAATCCATAGAGGTACATAACTACCTTTTGATGAGTGGGATCTTGGGGCAAAAAAAGTTGAAATAGATCTTATTGTCACGTTTCTAAACAAAAGGTGCCCTCTATAAGCTCAGTTGCAGTGGAGAGTAAGGAAGCCTCAACTTGTGAATTTGCCTAAAATAGAGAGGATTTGAGGAATCTGGCCCCACAGACGAGCTCATTATTGCACTAATCCAGGATCACATAGTGTAGCTCCACTGATATTCACAGAATTAGGGCATTTCTTCTTCCCTTTGTTTTTATTTCTTAACTTGAACCTATGAGCATTAAGTGAAAAGAATGATGCGTATTTCTGCAGTGTTTTTATTTTGTTTTTAAATAACCAGCCCCACCATGTTTGACCAAAGCTGCTTGTTTAGTATGCTATGATACAGTTAGTTAGGTTAAAGTGTATGTTTTGAGGGGGATTAGTGGAAACAACAGAAAGAGGAGATATGACTTATTCCTTGCAGCTGTACAACTTCCTGGAGTCCCAGGTGTGCTGCTGGTGACGGCTGTGAATGGAGCTTTATGTTGTGTCGCTACAGAAGCGCTACATAAACAGGGAGAATCAGAGAAAAGGGATCTCTAGCTGCCAGATGTTGTTATCTACAGTGCATAAAATCCAGCATTTGTGCTTCTTGCTATGGTAACTTGGTCCCTGTACACTAAACAAGAAGATAAACTACTTTTTTTTTTTTTTAATTGATGGTGTTGCATGATTTCTTCAAACTACTGTGGAATGATCAGAAATGGAAAAAAAAACTACCTGTATTTCCTGTCACATGCCACAATCAGCACTATACATAGCTCTTCCCAGAAATGGCTGTAACCAGAGTAATGATTGAATGGTTTGCTTAAGCATAATCTTATCATACCCACACAAAAATAAGGACTAGGGAAGAAAGGAAATTTTTTTTTCTATTAAAAAAGAATTAACCACTGAGTAATAGCATTTCTAGAATGCATTACTAAAGGGATAAACAGCTAAACCACATGCTAAATTTTGGAAGAAGTTTCTACACAGAAGAGCTAGGGAGAAATAAATTACTTTGTCCTGCGATGGTCAGCCTCCTATGTGTTAAAACTGGGCTTGTGCAAAAGTGAAGGTTCTAGTTTTGGGATATGAGGACGCACAGGAATAAGTGCTGGTTCTTGCGGACTTTCAAGGGGGAGGTGTATAGGGGACAGCAGCAGAGACGGTGACATCAGGAACTGTATAAGACCCCTCCCTTCCTGAGAATTTGTGAACCTATACATAGGGATTGAAGGATTCAAGGATTGTGTGCAGAGTATTAAAGGTATCCAGGTACATAACTGTCATTGATTTCAACAGGCTTTGGCACTTTGAACATGGGCCTAAGTTGCAGAGAAGGATACAAACAGCAAGCTAGTGTGCAGCTGGATGTCAGTGCTTGCTAGCTTCTCTGCTATTCAATTGCATATGGATCCAGCAATGGCTGGGTGGCTCCATGGTGGAGAAGCCAACATGGAGATGCTACTGTATCAAGTGCAGATGGAGATTAGGGCTGTGGGAACACATGATATTTACAGTTTTGCTTATCTCCTTGGCAGGTGAGGACTTTCCAGTGAATGTTATGGTAAGGTCACCTTGACATAAAATTATATTGTGAGTCGACTATACTCTAGAGGGCATGAATTTTTTAGGAGTGATGAGACACAGACTAAATGTGTCCTCTGTGTTTGGCATTTTAC